CGCACTCCGCCCTCTCCATAGTGTTATCTCCCTTTGCAGTTGAAGAAATTGACACTCAGAGTCAACTCCGCCCAGGCTGGCTAGTTCCTGTCCCGGTAAAGGGGAGGGTATGAGGGGGCATCACCAGCAAAATAAAATGGCGAAACCCTAGGCGGCAAAGCAGAGTGGACTCTGCTTGTGTGTGTGTGTGTGTGTGAGAGAGAGAGAGAGAGAGGAAGGGAGAGACAGAGGTGAGAATACAAATGCGCTTGATGACTGTAGGAGTACATGCTTGTGTGTGTGAGCACATGAGTGTGAGTATGAAGAAAAAGTGGGTGAGGTTCTGGTATGTTGCATCTAAGAGTGTTTGCATGGACTATGCCAGGGGAGTGTGTGTGCATGGGCACGTGTATGCGCATATGTGCCCTAAAGCTGAGCAGACTCAGTTCCTCTCTGATGTCTTGTCTGTGAAGCTACCCTGACCTCCTCCCCTACCCCAAAAAATCTTTCCTGGTGCCTCTCTGTATCCTGAACTCAATTTCATCACTGCACTGACAGGCTTTAGTAAATCTAACTGTTGGTATTCCTCTCTGTTTCCTTACTTGGAGCAGGGACTTCATTTTAGTAGTCTCACAGCCTGGGAGCCCAGTGTGGTGGGTACTCACCCCACGCTTGTGAAGTAAATGACAACTTCATTTGTGTCTGTTCCTTTGTCTGTAAGTATTGGATGCCTGACAGGTATGTTCAGTTTTAGTGTGTGTGTTTTGTGCATGGAGAATTATTTCTCATATGATAAAACTGAACACTGAACTTGCCTTTCCTGTCTCAATCCTCGGGGCTATTGTCCTGTTCCCAGTTTCTTCACTACAGGCCTTCTGCTCAGGGCTGCCTGACCCAGTTATAGACAAGGTACAGACCATTACTCACATAGACCCAGAGTCAGTCAGACTACTATTCTTCTTTGACCTGATTTCAGGTCAAAGCTTCTTGGCTGAATAGGACAGGTGCTGCTTTAGGACATCACCCCATTTCCTATTAACCATTTGAGGCTGGAAGCTCGGGCATTCTTGTTCTACCATTTGTTCTTGGAGTCAGTTTAAAATGGCCAACTTTGAGATCTCCCATGTTCCCTCTGGTCGTAACTTTTGTTCTTTATTTGTTCTGTCTTCTGTGTTGGGTCCCTAGGATGCCCATGCTCATTTTCCCTTGAGAAGTCCTTTCTACTGTCTAACTTCCTTACCAGTTCTAGAGTCTGAGGCTTCTCACCTATTCATTTTTGTTTTCTTTTGTTTGTGTAATTTTCACAATGTTTAGTAGTCTGTGTGTGCCCTGTATTGTTGCTGTTGTTGTTAAGTGCCGTTGAGTTAGTTCTGACCCATAGTGACCCTGTATAGGGTTTCCAAGGAGCAGCTAGTACGCTTGAACTGCTGACCTTGCAGTTCAAACGGCTTTTCAGTCTGGCGCATTAACCCACAGCGCCACACCAGGACTTGTGCCTTGAATTAGAGCCCTTAAATTTTTCCCTATTTTTTCATTGATGACCTTTATAATTCTGGGATTCACATTTAGGTCATTAATCCATGCTGAGTTGGTTTTTGTATATGGCATAAAATAAAGGTCTTGTTTCAATCTTTTGCATATCAATTTCCAGTTCTGCCAGCATCATCTGTTGAAGAGACTATGTCCTCCCCACTCAATGTACTTTGGTCCTTGTCAAAGATCAGTTGGCTGTATGTGAATGGGTTAATTTCTGGATTCTTGATTCTGGTCCATTGTATTTTTCAATGTATCAGTACCAGGCTGTTTTGACCACTGTAGCCATGCAGTAAATTTTGAAATCAGGGAGTGAAAAACTTCCAACTTTGTTCTTCTTAAGCAGTGATTTGCTTATTCTCACCTACTCTTCCACAGAAAAAGAGAAAAAGGAGTAGTGCTTAGTGGTTACAGTTCATGTTCAGGCACTACACTCTCTGTGCCTGAATGCCAACTGCACGTATGAAATAGGATTATATAATTTCAGACAAGAACGTTGGGCAGGGTTTCATCAAGAAACTGAAGGATGTCTCAATTGGATAATTTGAGCAATGTCTCATAGCAGTATGATTTATAAGAGGGTGGGCAGGGTATTAGTAACCCCAAGGGACAGTGTAGTAACAACTGACTGTTGACCACCTTTAGTCTCACAGGATGGCCAGAGGACGGTTCCTAGAATCTGGAGAAAGAGGCTCCCAGACGAGTGCTAGTACCTATATTGTAGGGAGAGAGTTGGGGAGGTCAATGTCCCAACCTCACTCTCTTCTGTCTCACCTCTTATTGGTGCCACTTCTAACAGGCCAAATCCTTTAGAAGTCAGGTAGCCCAGAGAAAGAGTCTGGAATGGTAACAAGAGGTAGCTAGCACATTCAGCTAAGCCTCAGTTCCCTCATCTGTAAAACATCCTCCCAGCCCTGCAAATTGTTCTGATGCTGAAAGGAGACAATGTACATGAGGGACTAAATGGTGTTCCAGTCCACAGTTAGTGCTCAGTGAACAGACCCAACTATCTGCCTCCTGATTTTAATGATTAATGGGCATTTCAATTTGTTCAAAATTGAAATCTTGATTCTTTCCTGTAGAATCTATTTCTTCCCTGGTCTCAGTGAACGACACTATCATCTAAACAACTCTCAAGCCAGAATCCTCAAGTGTCATCTTTTAGGTTTTAGAAGGCTCCTTCTCCCTATCTCTTCTGTCATTTCACCCTGCCTGCCATCTTCCAAAAGTCACATGAAGTCTGTCCCTTTTTCCCCATCTCCCACAGTGCCAAGTCAGTTCATCACTTCTCACCTAGATTACTCCTAACCTCTGCCCTGCTCCTCTGCCTGTGCCTTACTTCTGTCTATTCTTCACCCATCAGACAGATGCGTCTAAAGCATCAGCTGAATCATGTCACTCCCCTGGTTAAAGCTGTTGCAATTCAGACTTTAAACTGCTATCCAAGCCTACAAAGTCTACTTAGATTCCCAACCTCCCCATGGACCATGCTTCTCCATCCCAACACCTACTTCATTACAACTCTTCCTCTTTGGCACCAAGCTTTTCTCTTCCCAAGAGCCTTGCCAGATATTATTTCCAACCCCATAGGAAGCTCCTTGCCCCTTTTTCTTTGTCCTTTGTCCCAACCTATTACTTCTTAGGAGTCCTGGTATGGCGCTGTGGATTAATGCATCAGACTGCCAAGTCGTTTGAACTGCAAGGTTGGTGATTCAAGCTCACCAACTGCTCCTTGGAAATCCTATACAGGGTCACTATGGGTCAGAATCGACTCAACGGCACTTAACAACAACAGCATTACTTCGTAGCCTTCAAATCTCTGCTTAAATGTAATCATTTCAAAGAAGTTTTCACTGACTACCTCATCTAAAATAAATTCCCTACTCTTCTCCGCACTGGCTTCCCTGTTCCAAGATTGATTTTTTGTCTTTGACTTTTTATTGTGAATTGAGTGACGGTTTGCAGAGCAGACCATCAGTTTTACATTCAACAAATTATATACTTTACTTCATTACATCGTTGTGATTCCTTCCGTGCACCAACAGTTAACAATATTTACCTTTATTCACTTTAACTGTTGCTCTCCTCCTTGTGTCTCTCATTTGTTTGTTTGTTTGAAACAGTACTTAGTGTTTGAAATCCTGGTGTGACACTGAATGATAGGCTGTTCAAACCCACCAGCCACTCCTCAGAAACCCTACAAAGGGTCACTGTGAGTCTGAACCAACTCAAGGGCACTTAACAGCAACAGTGACCGTAACAACAACAACAACAACAACAGTATACAATGTTTGCCATGCTATATCCCTTTAGTTGACACTTGTTTGTAGTCTGTCTCCCCTGTTATACTATAAATTCCATAAAAGGACAAAGGCTTCACAGCTGTATCCTTAATACCTAACAAAGTAGATGTTCAGTAAATATGAAAAGTGATGAAAGAGCAAATGGTAGCCATTGTTATGATCATGATGCTTTCAAAGTTCCTGGGGTATCTCACCACAGCTCCATCTTCCCCTTTCTCTAGGCTTCAGACCCTCCTCTGCTTCCTCAGGTCACACAGTAGAAACTCAGCTCCAGAGGGTTTTCTTTTTTTAAGTTTTAATTGTGAATTATGTGGGTTTACATGGGAGAACATCAGCTTCACATTCATCCTATTGTATTCGTTTCATTGCAATGATTACAATCCCTCCATGCATCATCAAGTAACCAAAGGGTACACCACATAGGCCCGCCCCCCTGGCTGTCAGCACACAGCCCCTCTCCCTCCCTGAGTCCCATGTCCCCAGCCACTCCCTCTGTCCATGTCATCATCTCTGTCGCCATGCCTAGCGTTACTGCCTCTCTGGGTAGGGTCACGCTCTCCGCTCTTCTTACTTGATGGTCCCAGGGACCTCTGCTCCTGGGCTGCAAAATCAATCACTCTTCTCCTTTTGTCAAAACACATCTACCTCTACATTTCCTAGCCTCACAGTCAGTCCTGATGGCAATTATTCACTATTGTACCACAAGAGTCTTATTCCATAGGGTTTTCTTGACTATAATCTTTATGGAAGTAATTCACCAGGCCTTTCTTTCATGGAACCACTAGATGAGTTTGAACCACCAACCTTTAGGTTAGCAGCTGATCAGAAATTGATTGCATCACCTGGGCTATTTTCATCTAGGACTAACTTCAGTAAAGTACCAAAAAAAAGGACTATATCCCTGGTACAAATCTCTATTCAAGTTGATGATCAGACAGGGTGAGGGGACTGAGAATGTATCAAGAAAAATGAATTGGCGCCAGGAGATGGGGAGGGGGGCTGGTGTTAGAAGACAGGAACAGACAGTCTATAGATCTGGAGGAGGGGAACTGTGTGGGGACAGGGGTGGCCTACTAGGTGTGTCCCTTTTCTTTTCTCTGGCTCGCTTAGATAAGACAAGCAGTTTTGTCCTTGTCTCTCTTGCTCTTCACTGTCCAGACAGTCGCAGGTCCACGCTTTGAAAGCATGTCGGTCCGGGAGAATGTACCACCCCAGAAGCCTTGGTCATGGATCTCTAGGTCCCAAAGAGACTTGGTAAAGTCTATCCTGATTGGGGCTCCAGGAGGTAAGACCAGGGAACAGAAACTATTATTCAGCTGCTGCTGTTATTAGTTGCCAATGATTCAAGTTCAGGGTGAACCCATGTATGCAGAGTAGAACTGCTCTGACCTTTTGGAAGCACATTGCCAGGCCTGTCTTCTGAGGCACCTCTGGGTGGGTTCAAACTTTCAACCTTTCAGCTAGGGTGGAGAACTTACTTATATCATATAGGGACTACAGCCATTGAGAAGAGGTGGAAAATCAAGGTTGGAAATCAGGGATTAGAGTGAGGGTACAGATGATTCATTCTACTGGCAGCTAGAAGGGACTTGGAGAGGGCCTGTGTTCATCTGAGAGGCCTTTGTGTGAGCAGCCGCGGAGTGCCTGCAGCATGGGAGCCATGGTCCACTCCCATGGTTCCTGGACTCTAGCCCCTGGCACCCAGGGATTCCAGTGGCAGAGGAGACCTTGGTGACACTTTAACCAGTCCCCAGCTCAGCTGGCCTCATTCCTCTAACAGACTCAAAGAGATCAGAGGGCGAGCGGTGACATGGAGGATACGACTGCAAGTGGGTTTCTGACCTGGGGCGGGCTGGGGGGAGGGGGGTCCCAGGGCCTAAGGCAACACTGAAGGGGCTGGAGAAATTCAAAGGAATGACTGGGCGATTCTGAGCCTGGAAAATGAGGGGCCACTGTGGGCTAGATATTAAGGTGGCCTGAGGTAAGGAAAGTCCCCAGCTGAAGAGCAAGAATTCCATGGTGATGAGAGGTTGTTATAGTTGGTGCTCAGGAATTTCAGCCGAGTTATCCAGATCTAGATGCAAGTCATATGTCTGTTACTTAGAAACTATAATCTTGGGCAAATTATTTAATCTCTCTACCTCTGTTTCTTCATCTGTAAAATGGGGGATAATTACAGAGTGTTGAACAGCATCTGCTTCATAGGATTCTTGTGATTAAATAAGATAATTCATGCATAATGCCCAGCTGGTAGAAAGAGTGCAACAAAAACCAGGGAGCTGAGGGAAGGTGAGCAGAGATAAATGGATGGGGAGCAGAGGCAAGTACCCCGCAGCCCCCTGAGTCCTCTTCTGCTTGCAGGGTACCTGAGGTTGGCCAGTGTGGCTCAGTTAACTCAGGAGCTGGGTTCTGCCTTCTTCCAGCGGCAGCAGCTGTCGGCTGCTATGGCGGACACATTCCTGGAACACCTCTGCCTGCTGGACATCGACTCGGAGCCTCTGGCCGCTCGCAGTACTAGCATCATCGCCACCATCGGTAGGTACCCCAATCCTACCACCTCTGCAGCCTCACAGGGCCTTCTGGATGGTTTTCAAAGTGCTTCCTCATTGTTTGTCTCCTTTGAGACTTTCCAAGTTTGACAGAGTCATTCATTCAACAATTACAAGGGGCTTCAAAAAGTTTGTGGAACAAACGATTATCTTTTATTTATCTATTGTTTCAGTTCCATTTTTTTGTGAATTTTTTAGAGCGCACCCCCTCTTATGTTTTCTAAAAACTAAAACAACTTCCTTGGGAAGGTGACAGTCTACCTGGGCTGTTGTTGTTGGATGCTGTTGAGTTAGTTCCAACTCACAGAAGCCTTGTATAGAGTTTCCAAGGAGTGGCTGGTGGGTTTGAACCACTGACCTTGCAGTTATCAGTCCACTGCTTATCCTACAGGACCACACCTGGGCCCTATGTATTTGGGTAGGACAATAAATAATACACATGAAAATTATAATAAATAAGTAATTTAGCATATTAACTAATTTACTTACTTATTATAATATGTACTAGAGTCCTGGTGTGGCACTTTGGGTTAATGAGTCAGACTGCAAAGCCGTATGAACTGCAAGGTTGGCGGTTCAAGCTCACTAGCTGCTCCTTGGAAACCCTGTACAGGGTCACTGTGGGTAGGAACTGACTCGACGGCACTTAACAATAAACATAGTATGTACTATAATAAGTAAGTAAATTAGTATATTGTTGTTGTTAAGTGCTATCGAGTTGGTTCCGACTCATAGCAACCTTGTATAGGGTTTCTGAGGAGCAGCTGGTGAATTTGAACCACTGACCTTGTGGTTCAAACCAACCTTGCATTACCCTACAGCGCCACACTAGGACTCCAAATTAGTATATTGTTGTTGTTGTTGTTGTTGTTAAGTGCCATCGAGTCAGTTCCGACCCATAGCGACCCTGTGTATGGTTTCCAAGGAGTGGCTGGTGATCTTGAACTGCCGACCTTGTGGTTCAAACCAGCTTTGCTATCCAGTGTATTTAATCCACAACACCACACCAGAACTACAAATTAGTATGTTAGCAAGTGATAAATAATTTGAAAGAAAGAAAAATGTACTGAACTGTTTTAATTATCTAGTGCTGCTATAACAGAAATAACCACAAGTGAATAGCAGTAACAAACAAATTCATTTTCTCACAGCTTAGAAAGTTAGAAGTCCAAATTCACAGTGCTGGCTCTAGGTAAAGTTTTCTCTCTGTCGGTATTAGGTAAAGGTCCTTGTTTCTTCTGAGTTTCTGATCCTAGGTGATATTCATGTGGCTTGACATCTCTGCTTCTCTTGTTTGTTTAATTTCTTTTATATCTCAAAAAAGGTAGATTCAAGACACACCCTACAGTAATCCTGCCTCATTAACATAGAAAGACAACCGATTTCCAAATGGAATTACAACCGCAGGCATAGATGTTAGGATTTATAACACGCACTTTGGCGGGACATAATCCAAACCAGGACATTCCACCTTTTGACCCCCTAAAATTCATGTACTTGATACATGCAAAACACATTCACCCCATCACATCATCCCAGAAGTCATAAATCAAATCCAAAATCTCACCTTCTGAAGCATCTAAAGCAAATATGAAGTGAGACTTTAAGCATATATCATCTTGTAGCCAAATGCCTCTTCATCAGTGAACTTGTCAAATTGAGACTACAAATGACCTGTTTCCAAGACAAAATGATAGAACAGACACAAGGTAGACATTTCCATGCCAAATGGGAAAAATTGGAGGAAAAGAAGAGGTAACAGGCACCAAGCATGTCCAAAACTTAGCCGAAAAATTTGCATTAGCTCTCAAGGCTAGAAAAGAATCCTCTGTTCTCTGAGACCATCTGAGCAATAGCACTGCCCTCCAAATTCTGGTCTCAACTATGCTTTCTGGATTCTGGGTGAAGATTCCTCAGGCCTGGGCTGAAGCTCCACCTTCCAAGCTTACTGGGACAGCAACTGTGCTCCCCTGGCTTTGGAGGGCCCTTTCTCCTACTCTATTTGAGTGGCAATCCCACATTTTAGCTTGAGTGGTGCCCCATTCTTCTTTTTCTTGGGGGTGGGAGCCCAATCCCTCAGCTTTTAGCAGTGACCACATCCCCCTAGTACATCTAAGGGCAGCCCCATACCTCAGAACCAAGTTGGTGAAGATCTAATAAATGTTTTATTAAAATGTTAATTCATGCATGATATAAATTATTCTATATATTTATAACAAATTGTGCAAAGATCTGGAATCAGAAAACCAAAAAGAAGAACACGCTCAATATTTCTCAAGCTGGGGGAACTGAAGAAAAAATTCAAGCCTCGACTTTTGTTATTGAAGGATTCTTTGGGTAAATTACTGAATGATGCAGAAAGCATCAAGAGAAGATGGAAAGAATACGCAGAGTCACTGTACCAAAAGGAAATGGCTAATGTTCAGCCATTTCAAGAGGTAGCATATGATCAAGAGGCAATGACACTGAAGGAGGAAGTCCAAGGTGCATTGAAGGAATTGGCAAAGAACAAGGCATCAGGAATTGATGGAATAAAAATTGAAATCTTTTAAGAAAGTGAGTGGCACAGGAGGCACTCACTCATCTCTGCCAAGAAATTTGGAAGACAACTATCTGGCCAGCTGATTGGAAAAGATCTGTATTTGTGCCCATTCCAAAGAGAAGTAATCATGGACAATCTCTTTGATATCCCATGCGAGTGATGTTTTACTAAAGGTAATATAGAAACAGCTGAAAGCATACATTGACAGAGAATTTCCAGATGTTCAAGCAAGATTCAGAAGAGGCCGTGGAATGAGGGATATCATTGCTGATGTCTGATGGATCTTGGCTGAAAGCAGAGACTATCAGAAAGATGTTTACCTGTGTTTTATTGACTATGCAAAGGCTTTCGATTGTTTGGATCATGATAAGCTATGGACAACAGTGTGAAGTATGAGTAAACCAGAACACTTAATTGTGCTCATGAAGAATCTGTACATGGACCAAGAGGCAGTTGTTCAAACAGAACATGGGAACACTGAATGGTTTAAATTTAAGAAAGGTGTGCAACAAAGTTGTATTTTTTCACCATACTTATTCAACCTGTATGCTGAGCAAATAATCTGAGAAGCTGGGGTATGTGAAGAAAAATGTGGCATCAGGATTGGAGGGAAGATTCATTAACAAGCTGCGATATGCAGATGATACAACCTTGCTTGCTGAAAGTGAAGAGGACTTAAAACATTTACTGATGAAGATCAAAGAGTAAAGCTTTTGGTATGGATTACATCTCAATGTAAAGAAAATAAAAATGCTTACCTCTGGACCAATAAACAACATTCTTATCAAAGATTGAAGTTGTCAAGGATTTCATTGACATGGAAGCAACAGTCAAGAAATCAAACAACGTATTGCATTAGGCAAATCTGCTGCACAATAACTTTTTAAAGTGTTGAAGAGCAAAGATGTCAGCTTGAGGACTAAAGTGCACCTGACCCAAGCCATGATATTCTCAATAACCTCATATGCATGCGAAAGCTGGACAGTGAATAAGGAAGACCGTAGAAGAATTGATGCTTTTGAGTTATGGTGTTGGAGAAGAATATTGAAAGTGCCATGGGCTGCCAAAAGAACCAATAGATCTATTTTGGAAGAAGTGCAGCCAGAGTGCTCCTTGGAGGCCAGGATGGCCAAACTTCGTCTCTCATACTTTGAACATATTGTCAGGACGGACCAGTCACTGGAGAAGGATATCATGTTTGGTTAGGTGGAGGGTCAGAGGAAAAGAGGAAGACCCCCCATGAGATGGATTGGCCAAGTGGCAGCATCGATGGACTCAAGCGTGGCAACAATAGTGAGTTTGGCCCAGGATCAGGCAGTGTTTCGTTCTGCTGTGCATAAGGTTGCTATGAGTTAAAACTGACTCAATGGCACCTAACAACAACAACAACAACAATATACAGCTAGTGTGGTGCTGCAGGATAAGGCACTGGGCCACAAGGTCGATTTGAACCCCAAGGTCAGCAGTTTAAACCCACCAGCTACTCCTTAGAAATCAGATGCAGGGTCGCCATGAGTTGGCAACGACTCAATTACACTTAACAGCAATCTATATAATATGATCACTTTAACTATTTATTAATTGTTGTTGTTAAGTGCCGTGGAGTCGGTTACAACTCATAGCGACCCCGTATAGGGTTTCCAAAGAGTGGTTTGTGGGTTTGAACCACTGACCTTCTGATTCAAACCCACCTTGTGGTCCAGTGCTTAGGTAAAAAGTTCTAGGTAAAATGATACCTAGAAAAGGCTGAAAAAATAAACCAAAATGTTAACTAAGGACAAAAAAGGAAAGAAACATAGAGCATGGTAAAGGGGCAGCAGGAGTCTGGGGGCAGAAAGCAGGCTGCAGTCCTAAGTAAGAAGGTTGTTTTTGTTGTTAAGTGCCCTCAAGTTAGTGTGGACTCATAGTGACCCTATATAGGGTTCTCAAGGAGTAGCTGGTGAGTTTGAACTGCTGATCTTATGGTTTAAACTGACCTTGCAGTCCAGTGCTTTACTCCACAGCACCACACTAGGGCTCCGTAAAGTAAGAAGGTTGTTGTTGTTGTTAAGTGCCATCAAGTCGGTTCTGACCCATAGCAATCCTGTATAGGGTTTCTGAGGAGTGGCTGGTGAGCTTGAATCGCTGACCTTGCAGTTTAAATGGCTTTGCAGTCTGGCACATTAACCCACAGGACCACACCAGGACTCCAAAGTAAGAAGGTGGTAGTGGTGGTGGTGGTTAAGTGCCATGGCGTCGATTCCGATTCATAGCAACCCTGTACAGGAGGGTTTCCGAGACTATAAATCTTTATGGGTGCAGAAAGCCTCATCTTTCTCCTGCGGAACAGCTGGTAGTTTCTAACTGCTGACTCTAAGATTAGCAGCCCAATTCGTAACCACTACATTACCAGAGCTCCTTAAGCACCAAAGCGCCTTAAAAAGTAAAAAGGTAGGATAGGCATTATTGAGCAAAGAAGACCTGAGCAAAGACTTGAAGGAGATGAGGGAATTCACTATGCAGATATCTAGGGGAAGGGAGTTCCAGGCAATGCAAACAACTAGTGCAAAGTCAAGGAGGCCAATGTGGCTGGAAATCAAGAGGAGGAGGAGGAGAAATGAAGACTTTCTAGGGCCCTGTAGGCCACTATTAGAATTTGAGTTGAGTTTTCCTTTAAGTAAAATGGGAAACAACTTCAGAGGAATTTGAGCAGAGGAATTATATGACCTTATTTATGTTTCAACAGAACCACACTGGCTGCTGCACTGAAAATAGATTGGGGGGTAAGGGTAGGAGCAAGGGCAGAAGTGTTCCTGGGAGAGATGATGACAGCTCAGATGACGTGGTGGTAGTGGAGCTGGTGAGAAATGGTCAGATTCTGAAATCAATTTGAAGGTAGAGTTGGCAGGAGTTGAATGCATTGCATGGCACAGGGAAGTTGAGAAAGAAAGGAGTCAAGAATGAAGCCAGGCACTTCCTCAGAAGGCTGGAAATAGAAATACCTTATTTCTACCCAATTGAAATATCTTGTGGGTAAATACCTAATTCCTCTACTTGGTATTTACCCACAAGAAATATGAGCCATAACACAAGTAGATATATGCACACCAATGTTCACAGCAGCACTGTTTACAATAGCAAAAAGATGGAGACAGCCTAAGTGCCCATCAATTGAAGAATGGATAAACAAACTGTGGTACATACACACAATGGAATACTATGCTACCTTGAAGAACAAGGAAGCTGTAAGTCACCACATAACATGGATGAACCTTGAGGACATTATGCTGAGTGAAATTAGTCAGTCACAAAAGGAGAAATAATTCATAGGACCATTATTGTAAAAGAGTAAGAAAAAGAACCCACACTAAAAGGGGGAAATTTATATATATATATATTTGCTGACCACCAGGATGTATGGGATGAGAGGAGGGGAGGGAGAGAGGGGAAGAAAGAGCACAGGGTAAGGAATAGACACAGGATAGCTTGGGTGCGGGCCAGGGGGAGATGCAGGGGGTGCAATACACCAGAAGGGGGAAGGGAATGGAAGTACAAGGCTCATGGGAGAACCGTTAGGCAGGTTCGCATGGGCTAAGTGGCACAGAGGTAAATGATGATATATGCACAACCTTGGAATAACAGAGCTCCAGGATACAGGGCATGGTTTGAAGGGGTAAAAGAGGGGAATAGTGTTAAGATGCTTGGCTGTCTTTTAAAACTTGGTTTCCCTTGCCTACCATTGTAAAATAGACACTTGAGAGGGGGAGAAAGGAATAGCCAGAATCATCACTACAGAAAGCTTGTAAGTCCATCTTCAGCCTATAACTGACTGGAATACCTTAAAGAGGGCTAGAAGTTGCCCAGTGAAAGAGGCTTCCTGTGGAGCCTTTACATTGCACAAGACCATAGGTGGAATCCAGAACCCCATCCAGAACTGACTGAGGTAGGAAATTTCCACTGGAAAGGATGAGTTAGACCAGCCAGGAGCGGCCAGAAGAACAGGAGATATTTTGTGAAAGAAGTGAAAGAAAGACCGGCAGGAAAAATCCAAAACAATAACGGCAGTCTGATTGATTACTACAAGAACACAAGTAAGCTGTTCGCCCGGGAGCCATCAAGGCAAGTGGTCGGGACCCCTCAGAGCAAACCCCCTTCCAAGACTAAGACTCAAGGGAAATACATGAGCAGGCATGTGGTCTGGCTGGTGACCACGTTGGTCACTGGTAAGGGAAAGAGGGGGAGAAAACAGCAATGAAGTTGCAAGCTAAGCCCAACCACATTCAATAGACCCCAGTGAACCCAGGTGGAGACCTGGATGGCCAGCAGTATGGCAAGACCCAGGGACTCCTGGGCCCAGAGGCAGTAACATGGCCACAGAGGACTAGAGTGGAGAGTGAAGAGTCCCGCTGATATGAAGTGAAGGGAGATGCACAAGAACACCCATACTTAGAGATAGTACCCACCTAACCTGGCTTTGATGGCTGGAGGATCAGAACTCAACTAGAAGAAAGAAGAGTGGGAAAAAAGAAGAGTAACCTGCTACAATTTGATGAACTTAACCTATACTTATGGATGTAGTAGCTCAAAAAGGGAACAAGTCTTTATAAGGAGGATCACTCCCAACCCCTTGATATACAGGGTTGACAGGGATCAGCAACTGAGACATTGCCTACCCAAAATGGGGGGGCCTATAAAGGCAAGAAGTGACTGACTTACAAGCTTTCAAGAGGGAGCCTAGTTCCAGACAGGACGGGTGAAGGTAGAATCACCATTGAATGATTTCCAATTTGTTGGGACCAGACTGGCGAAAGGAAATGGGGATAAGACTTTTGTGGTACAATAGTGAATAATTGCCATCAGGACTGACTGTGAGGCTAGGAAATATAGAGGTAGATGTTTTTTGACAAAAGAAGGCGAGTGATTGATTTTGCAGCCCAGGAGCGGGGGTCCCTGGGACCATCAAGTGAGAAGAGTGGAGAGCATGACCCTACCCAGAGAGGCAGTGATGCCAGGGATGGAGACAGAAAAAATGACATGGACAGATAGAGAGGCTGGGGACACTGGACTCAGGGAGGGAGAAGGGCTGGTGGTTGGGTGGCAGGTCTGTGTGGTGTACCCTTTGGTTATTTGATGATGCATAGAGGGGATTGTAATCATTGCAATGAAATGAAATACAATAGGATGAGTGTAAAGCTGATGTTCTCCCATGTAACCCTCACAATAAAAACTTAAAAAAAAAAAAAAAAAGAAGAAGAAGAAAAATGATGCCAGGGTTTGGGGCCTGTAGAACTGGAAGGATGGCATTATCAACTGAGCAGAAAAGACTATAGAGGAACAGGTTTGGGGAGAAAGATCAGTTCAGTTTGGAACATACTGAGTGTGAAATGCATATTACACACTCAAGTATGGTGTAGGGTAGGCAATCAGATATATGACTGGGTTTGGAGAGAGGTCTGGACTGGAGATGACGATTTGGAGTTGTCAACATATAAATGGTATATAAAGCCACGAGACTATTTGAAAGTGAAGGTAGAATGAATGACACAGAAGACTGAGTGATGTACCTAACATTAAGAGGAGGAATAAGCAGAGGAGACTGAAAAGAAGCAATCAGTTAGGTAGGAGAAAAACCAAGAGACTCTGGTATCTTGAAGGCCAAGGAAAGAAGGTGTGTTAAGGAGGAGACATGTGTGTCAAATGCTGCTGCTGAACCAAGTAAGACGAGGACTGAGAATTGACCATTTGATTCCATAACAGCACAAAAGTTCCTGGAGTCTCTGAGAGATGAGGGCCAATGTCTGGTTGAAGAGTCGTCGCTGTTAAGTGTCGTACAGTAGGTTCTGACTTAAGAGTGACCCTATACAGGGTTTCCATAGAGCAGCTGGTGACTTTGATCTGCTGACCTTACAGTTAGCAGTCCATTGCTAGGAATTGGAGTCAGTAAATACAGATAACTCTTGCAATGAGTTCTGTAAAACTGAAATAATAAAATAGGTATGTAGCTGGAGGAAGAACTGAAATTATGGGGGGAAAATAATGAAAGATATGTGTTGATGGGCACGATCTAGTAAAAAGGAAAATACTGATGATATAAAGGGGAGAAAGGGTGAATCTCTGTCCTTGATTAGGTGAGAGGGAAGATACTTAGTACACAAGTGGCAGTGTTGATGTTAGGGACTGGACACTCAAAAGGTTAGGTGGGCTGTCTCTCAGTCACACAGCTGCCCTATGGCAGAGTGGGACTTAACTCAGCTCTTCTCAAATCAACAGGAAGCCTCTAGGCCCTAAAGTCCCTTAACCAAATGCCCTGACACCCACCGTCTCATGCCCCCTCACATCCTGCAATACTTACATCACTGCCAACACCAGTTCTCTAAGACCTAGCTCAGGATAATCACCCCCAAGACCCCAGTGTTACCCAGTCTCTGAGGGTAAGTATGCGTTTCGTTATCTCAGGGTTTTGGGAAAAGGTGTCTGAGCAGGATCTCTGGTTCTAGGGCCGGCTTCTCGCTCTGTGGAGCGCCTCAAGGAAATGATCAAGGCCGGGATGAACATAGCGCGACTCAACTTCTCCCACGGTTCTCACGAGGTGCAGTGTGGGGCTGCTTGGAGGTGGGTGGGGCCGGAGGATGCCCGGGGGCCCAAATCTACTCTGAAATGCTTGCTCTTCTCCCGCTCCCAGTATCACGCTGAGTCTATCGCCAACATCCGGGAGGCAGTAGAGAGCTTTGCAACTTCCCCACTGAGTTACCGACCTGTGGCCATCGCTCTGGATACCAAGGGGCCAGAAATACGCACTGGGATCCTCCGAGGGGTGAGAGACTGTCCCACGATAGGCGAAGTCAGGGCGGGGCCTGAGGGAGCGGGAGGAGGGGGTATAGATTCCGGAGCAGAATTAGAGCAGAGGAACTGGGCTTCAGGGGGGCCCAGACGCAGGGAAAAGACCAATGAGGAGAAGAAGCAAGAAATCAGGGAGCAGGGCCGAAGAGGAGGGAACAGGGCTGGAAAATCCAGGGAGAGCCGAAAATATTGGAGGGCCTGTGTGGGGGAAGGGAGGAAAGGAAAAGAAGAGTAGAGTGGACCGGGCGGGCGGGAAAGGCAGAGGCAATTGGGTGGGGACCCTGGGTGGGAGCAAGAGAGGGGTCCTGAAGAACTTTGGGGAGGCGGGGAGAAGAGAGCTCACATTCACTCTGGCCCCGCCTCTAGGGCCCGGAGTCGGAGGTGGAGATAGCGAAGGGCTCCCGGGTGCTGGTGACTGTGGACCCGGCGTTCCGGACACTGGGGGATGCCGAAACCGTGTGGGTGGACTACCCCAATATCATCCGGGTCGTGCCGATGGGGGGCCGCATCTACATTGACGACGGGCTCATCTCCTTAGTGGTCAAGACAATCGGTGTGGATGCACCTCCCGCCCTGGTTGGGTGAACTCTCTTCTGTTTGGTTCCTCCATTCACTCTTTAGATAGGCCACACCTGGCCACGCCTCCTCCCTGACTGTCCTGGGAACCCACAGCCTCCAGACCTCAGGATTCACCTTGGGTTGGGGCTGGATTTGTGGGTTGGTGGTTTCTTCTGCAAATACCCACCTTGTTTTATATAATGTGCAAGGCCAAAGACAGGGACAGAGAGACGAAAAGGGCATGGCCAGTATCTAATTACCTAATAAACAAGGTAAACAAAGGCTTACATGTGCTTATTTACTAATCTGTAGTGAACAATTTCACATTGTTTTCATCACTTCAAAGATTCTGCTTCTAGGTATGGCTAGCATCTCTCTCCCAACCCGACAGCACTTTCTTACAGAATCCAAGCCTCTTTCCAAATTTATAATCCCTAGCAGGGACAGAATACAGAGTAAGCATGGGCTTACTAATGTATATGATTAGTATGTAAACACAAGTAAGCCCATATGTACCTTGCTTATTAAACAATCGTCTCCTGGACATGGTTCCTGGTTTCATGGAAGTCCAAGCTCAATGTCCCCTATGCAGTGACTAATACCTGGCCACACCTGTGACCAGGCTGGCTCTCTCCATACCCACAGATCCAGAGGGGCTGGTGACCGAAGTGGAGAATGGTGGCATCCTGGGTAGCCGGAAAGGGGTGAACTTGCCAGGTGTTAAGGTGGACCTGCCTGGGCTGTCTGAGCAAGATGCCCGGGACCTGAGCTTCGGGGTGAAGCATGGTGTGGACATCATCTTTGCCTCCTTTATACAAACAGCCAGTGATGTGGTGGCTGTTCGGACTGCCTTGGGTCCTGAAGGACAGGGCATCAAGATCATCAGCAAAATTGAGAACCATGAAGGCGTGAAGAAGTGAGGCTTGATATTTAACTGTCCCATCAGACCCTACAACACCCCGATCACCCCTTCTTCCTCCTGCCTCTCCCTGGTATCTCCTGATTCCTCCAACCACCCAGGTTTGATGAAATCCTGGAGGTGAGCGATGGCATCATGGTTGCCCGGGGAGACCTTGGCATCGAGATCCCAGCAGAGAAGGTTTTTCTGGCTCAGAAGATGATGATCGGACGCTGTAACTTGGCTGGCAAGCCTGTAGTCTGTGCTACACAGGTCTGGAGTGAACCCTGAGGAGTGGGACACTTTGGGCTCTGGGAACATCTGAGGGAGAAGACCCACATCTTAGGTCTGTAGCATGTTTTGGTATTCTGTGTTAGATACTCAAACTCAATGACTTTAGAAAGAAATGATATCACCCCCATTTTCAGATGAGGAAACTGCAAACTCAGGATCACACAGGTTGTGTCTGTGACCCTGGTTTTCACAAGTGTCAGAGGGATATCTTGGGCAGGGCTGCGGATGGGAATGTGACTACAATAGCTGACTTCCAAAGTGTCCCCAGATGCTGGAGAGTATGGTCACTAAGCCCCGACCAACACGGGCAGAGACAAGCGATGTGGCCAATGCTGTGCTGGATGGAGCAGATTGCATCATGCTGTCCGGGGAAACTGCCAAGGGCAGCTTTCCTGTGGAGGCTGTAAAGATGCAGCATGCGGTAGGAGCTCAGAATGCAGGGTAAATGGGCCAGGGAACCAAATCTTTTCTGGGTCCCAGTGCCCTGCCCCACTTGACCTCCTGGTTCCTGCAGATTGCCCGAGAGGCAGAAGCTGCAATCTACCACCGGCAGCTGTTTGAGGAACTGCGCCGGGCAGCACCACTAAGCCGTGACCCCACTGAGATCACTGCCATCGGTGCTGTGGAAGCTGCCTTTAAGTGCTGTGCTGCGGCCATCATCGTACTGACCTCAACTGGCCGGTGAGGAGCGCACTGGGAATGCCTAGATTGGGCATAGCCCTGGGTTTTGTCTGGTCATCAGGGATTAAGAGTATCATCATGCTGGTGCAAAAGGAGAGGTAGCTGTGAGAGTTGGCGGCTGGGGAGACAGGTCTTGGAGTGAACTAGGAATGCTAATGTGAGCAAGATCCAGGAATCTGAAAGAAGAAGGTGGCATCACTAAGTATAGTGACTTGGAGGTCATTTGCTCTCCTAGTTCTCAGATGCAAGTCCTTTTCATTTAGTCCACTAAGTCTTACAATGCTGAGGTGATGCTGAAGAATGCAGAAGATCTTTGCTCTGAAGTGTACTAACCATGAGTGCTTAAGTAAGTTGCCCAGACTCTATAGGCCTGACCTCCATTTCCTTATATCTAAACTGCAAGGTTGGTGGTTCAAACTCACCAACTGCTCTTTGGAAACCCTATACAGAGTCACTATGGGTCAAAACTGACTTGATGTCACTTAACAACGATGGAGCTAAGGACCCCTGGTGGCACAGTAGTTAAGCACTCAGTTGCTAACCAAAATTTATTTGAACCCACCAGCTACTCCATGGAAGAAAGACTTTGTAGTCTGCGTCAGTAAAGATTTATAGCTTTGGAGTCCCATGGGGCTGCTCCAGCCTTATAGGGTCACCATGAGTTGGAATTGATTCAACGACAATGGGTAGGTTTGGTTTAGGATGGAACTAACAATGTGTTCTTCATAGGGCTGTGAGGATACACACAACATAGTATATATTTTGTGAGGCATTGGTGGATCAGTAGTAGAATTCTAGCCTTCCACACAGGAGACTCCGGCTTAATTTTCAGCCAGTCACCTCATGCATAGCCATTTCCTATCTGTCAGTGGAGACATGCATGTTGCTATGATATTGAACATGTTTCAGTGCTATCCAAACTAAGACTGTCAAGTAAGAAAGGTCTGACTATCTCCTCATAAAAATCAGCCAGTGAAAACCTGAAAGATCCTAATTCAATCCCCAACCAATTATGAGGATGGTGAAGTGTTTCATGTGTCAGGGTTCAACTCAATGGGAGTTAACAATAACATGTATGTTACTTTATAAATTAAAGTAGTTAAAGAGTTTTATGTTGCTCAAAGAGGTTGCTCATTATCTCATTGAAGTATAATATCTTCCTTCTGTGAAAGAAAGGGCAAGCATTCTTATGCCTTACTTTAAAGATGAGAAAATGAAGGTCTAGAGAAATATGATGATTTACCCAGGATCGCCCAGCTTGTTAGTGGCACCTGAAACTAGAACCCAGACCCATCTGCTAGTTTAACCCGCTTCACTGTTCTGGGCTGACCTTCTCTACCTCCTCCAGCTCAGCCCAGCTTCTCTCTCGGTACCGACCTCGAGCAGCAGTCATTGCCGTCACCCGCTCTGCCCAGGCCGCCCGTCAGGTCCACCTATGCCGAGGTGTCTTCCCCTTGCTCTATCGTGAGCCTCCAAAGGCCATCTGGGCAGAGGATGTGGACCACCGGGTCCAGTTCGGCATTGAAAGTGGTGAGTTGCCTTGCCCTTCCTCCTCCCACCTCTGATACTTATATTGAGTCCTCTTTCCCAGCTTTCTTCAACTACACAAGAGTCTTGTCCCTCTCCTGGGGTCCCAGAGTTGCCCTGTGAGATTCAATAAGACCCACAGGTATCTGGGTTTCTGAAAGAAAGATATGCTGAGGGGAAGGGGCAGAAGGGAGGAGGGCAGGACGACCCCTAAAGAAGTCACCTAGCTGCTTCCTACACCAAGTGGCTAGACTCAAGGAGCAAGAGAAGAGACAGCTGCAACTGAAACAAATTGAACTTACAACTGATGTATGCTCATTCCCAGCCCTTTCTATCAGCACAGCACACAAGTGGACAGGAGACTTGCTACTTGGTGACAATACATCCCATTCCATTTCAGAGACACACCTGTGCTCACATTCCCTGGGGGGCCCATTGGAATTTGTCTCAAGCTCCTTCTTCCCTAAAGCCTAGCTCATCTGGGGTGAGGGTTTCTGCTCATTACAGGGCTGGCCTGAGTCCCACCCCGTATTCTTTCCTTTCCCAGGAAAGCTCCGGGGCTTCCTCCATGTTGGGGACCTGGTGATTGTGGTGACCGGCTGGCGGCCTGGCTCCGGCTATACCAACATCATGCAGGTGCTGAGCATAACCTGAGACACTTCTTTGACCTCTGACCCAGATCACCTTCCTCTCTACATCTTCCACCCACAATATTCTTACAACTCTACCTAAACCCCAACCCTCCCAAATTCCTCTCTACCCCCAAAGCTCCCAAAGTCCCTATCTGCCATCCAACTCATTGTAAGGGGCCCTTTCCCATCTCCATGTCACATAGGCCCAGAAAGTCTGTTTCCAGTTAAGCACTGCCCATTAACAGCACTATTTGCACACTCTGTGCACCCAATCCTCTCATCTTGGCCCTAAGACACTCTGAGACTTTAATCCCAGCTTGGCTGCTTAATTCTATCACGAGTCTTCCCATCTTCAGGGCCAGAGGAAAGGAGAGACAGGGCAATTGTGTTCTCATGCTCCACAAAACCACTATTTAAAGAGATTTCCTGTGTAATATGATGTTCTCATGTGTAGGCTCATGATAACCTGGGCACTGCCTGAGGCGAATGCCACCTCTTCCTGATGCCTGATGGCTGCATGCCAGGGCAGTGCTTCTTCTTCATTGAGATGACTGACCTTAATGCATAGCCCTTTTGGGAAAGCTGAGTAGCCTGTCAGGGTGGGAAGTGATGGATGCTGGGGAGACTCTAGAGCCTGGCTGGTCAATTGCATCACCTCATGCCTTGCTGGGCCAATGTCCTGCTGTCCCTTCTTTCATTCAGAAACCCCTCATGCCCAACTTGTTCCCACACACAAACCAGGAGTCAAAATGAGTGTCTCCATTGTCTTTTTAAAGCTGTTTCGAAGCAATTATAAAATTTCTCCTATATACCAACAACCCCAGAAGCCCCCACCCTGAAGGAAAGGAGATTTAGAGGCCAGGGTGCTGGCTCCACACTTCGATGCTGTAGAATAGGAGCGGGAACAGAAGGATTTCTCTTATCCCTGAGAAGGCAGAGGTGCTGGCTGGCCTGCCTCTCCCCAGGCTTGGATCCCATGGGCCCTCCCCTTATTGTTGCATCAACAGCACTCAGCAAAATTTAAAAATATATATATATACAACCCTACAAGTAAAAATAGTCCTCCTCTCCTTCTCGGGTGGCTCTCCTGCTCCTACCTCTATCAGGAGAGTCCAGGTATTGCTGCTGATGGAGTTAGACAGGTCCACAAGAGCCCGCCTCCTCCTGTCTCCTCACCAGGAGAGGAGAGGAAGGACAGATGAAGGAATACGTAGATAAAATGAAGCCATATTAAGAATTAACTAATAAATAAATATATAAAATTAGTGATAGAATAAATAAATAAATACAGATGGGAGGGGGGAAATGTCATCTAAGAATTCAGCCACTTGCCCCCTCCAGGGGGGCTCTAGGCTAGCATATGAAATAAAGATATGCTAATTATCCTCTAGCTTCAAGAGGCTGGGGACAGAGGGAGGAGGCAACTCTCAATTTACAAAAAGACAATTCTATCACAAAGACTGAGACTTTGCAGGGGGCTAGCAGGAGATATGTGTTCCCCACAGAGGGTATAGCCATGGAGGGTCCACAGACAACAGTGAGAGAGCAAAAGTGGATGCCCAAGCTGGGGACCCAGGACATTTGGTCTTGACAGTGATGGGGGCACAGGTAGTTGGCAGTGCCAGACTATATTAGGGGGAGAGGAAGATACCTGTGCCAGGGAGAACCTGCAGGTTCATAGGCAGGGTGAGGCCCACACTAAAAACAGAGAGACGTCTAATTACTTGGCAGTGATGGCGGTGGCAGGTATTTGTGCTTAGTAAAGGTGGGATCGTAGGCCTGGGACTGCACCTGGCAGGACCATAGCCAGGGGACTATCCTCAGCAGAGGGCATGGAGTTACTTCTACTTGGCAGTGGAGACGTACACAGCCTGGCACCGTGCCTGAAACATGGTAGACACTTAGCCCATGTGCTGAACAGATGAGTGGATGAGGAGCATGTCAGGTTGCAGGTGGCCTGAGGTGAGGACATGAAGATTATCTTCTTGGCAGGAAGGACAGACATTTCTGTAGGGCAGTGGGTGAGGTCCTCTTGGCCTTCCCAAGAGGCATCTGCCCCCAGGCACACAGTACTGCACCCCCGAGAGCTAAGGCTGGCTGTGCCTAGGGTTTCACATGTTGGCAGAGAGCTGGGGACCCCGAGGGGCAGTTGACTCAGGCACTGGTGGCCTGGGGGGCTGGGCTGTCCCTGTAGACTTGGTCAGGAGCCCTGAGGGGGGCAGACGCTCACTTCCTGATCCCTTCCGCCCAGGAGAGCCATCCCCTGCAGCTCGCTGTGGCAGAGAGGGTTGGGAGGCTGAGAGTGGGCGGCCTCGAGGTCCTAGCCGCCGTCCCCCTCCTCCTGGGGGTGGGCCCAGCAGGGAGACTTGGGAGCGCCCAGCCCGGGATAGACTGGCATGGAGGGTTCGGGCAGGTGGGGCAGGCAGGCGGGAGGTGGATGCCCACGGCCCCCGGACCAGCAGAGGAGCAGCTCGGACAGGCACCAGAGGGGAGGCTGGGGAGCCTGCTGAGCGGCGAGCAGAGCGAGCTAGGAGGGTGGCTGGAGAGTCGGGAGAGAGGGGCAGAGGGCCCCGCTGGTGAGTCAGGGCAATGGCTACATTGGAGGTCACAGCGGCTGCCTGCAGGGGTGCATGCACCAGTGGCTCCCACAGCACTGGCTTTCCACTGAGCCGAGCCCCTGTGCCAGGGGCCAGGCCCCGAACTCCCCGAGCCATGTCTCTGTCATGCTGCACAAGGTGCTGTTCCATAATTCCCCCACTGCTGCCTGGGCTTGGCTCAGAGCGCTTCCGCTGCAGAAGGGAATTCTTCTTACCTGAAAGTTGTCCAGGAAGGGAAGAGTTAAGAATAGGGAAGGAATCCAGAGATGGAAGTCACATATCAAAGAGTGTGAGAGTAAATGGATGGGAAAGATCTCAAAAATATGGAAATTAATGAATGCTTGTAGGGGATGAGGTGGGAGCACTGGGGTTGGAATTGAGGATGAAAGTCTATGAGGTGGGGGGTCAGGAGGTAAGGATTAAGGGATGAAGGTTAGGAGATGGAAGTTGGAGAAAGAGGGTAGGGATGAGGGTATCAGAGAGAATGAGAGTTAGGGACTGGTAGGAGAGGGGGTATTGAGGGGATGGGAACTTGGCCTGTGACATCCAAGGGTTGAAGACACTGAAGCATAAAGCAGCACAGCACAGTGTTGAGAGGCATTTGCTAGAACAGGTGGGTTGGGGTATGATGTTGTAGCACTAGAGCCTGGGTCCCCTTGCTATGAAGATGGGATGAGAGCACAGCCTGTATTCTGAGTGGCTGGCTGGGAGGGACAGTAGGTCTCACCAATGCGGCGCAGTCGGTCCATGGCCACAGTTTCGAAGGCCCGGCGCATCATGGGGAACTCCTCAAGAACAGCATTGAAGTGGTCCACGCTGAGTGAGTAGAGGCGGCAGTAGGTGTCAGCCCGCACACTGGCTGTGCGCCGGCCCCGTGTCAGCAGGCAGATCTCTGTAGGAGTTGAGGGCAGACCTTCAAAATTACTGTCCCCAGCACCCCTTTGCACCAGGCCTGTAGTTACTGACCCAGCTTTCTTAAGTTCCTCCCCAGACTTGGAGGAAACTAGTGTTTACTTGCCTACCTCTGAGGTCTCTAAATGCTCTAAAATTCCTCTTGATGTACTATTGTAAACTTCCTTGTCTCTCTCCTGCCCCCAAATCCCAAACCCACTCCCGTCAAGTCGATTCCGACTCATAACGGAATAGGGTTTCCAAAACTGTAAATCTTTATGGGAGCACGAAGCCTCATCATCTTTCTCCCACAGTACCACTTGTGGTTAACAATTGTGTTAAAATTGTGTTAAAATTGTGTTAAAACTCATAACGGAATAGGGTTTCCAAAACTGTAAATCTTTATGGGAGCACGAAGCCTCATCATCTTTCTCCCACAGTACCACTTGTGGTTAACAATTCAGTGCTTATCCTGCCATGCCAACAGTGTTGCACAAGTAAGTCTTGCATACTTCCTGCTTCTCTCTGGATTACTGTTCTGCTCACTCTTTTCATCCCATCCCATCTACTTGAGCCTGCCACCCCCATCTGGTACAAATCACTTTGTGGACTCCCTCTCAACGCCCAGCAGATTTGTGTAAACAGCAAGGTGAACCCTACAGAAGAAAAGAAGTCTTCAAAGTGCAAAGTGATAGGGATGCTGGGAGGTAGGATGGAGGTGTGGCTTGGGAACTTAGACGTTCAAAGAGCCTCAGGTAACTTTGGGCAGCAGCTGGTAAAACTGCCCTCCCCAGCACCACCACCACCACAGGCTAGGTCCCTACTTCATACCACCAGGGCAGCAGTGAAGGGAACCCCAAAGCTCAAAGCCCTGGGACATTTCTGCTTTGTTCCTATCTTCCCTTCATCAAATAGTATCCTCCAAATCCACTCTTTAAGGGTTCTAAAAGGCTCCCTGTCCAGGAATTTTCAACCTGGCTATGCATTGGAATCTCCTGAGAAGCTTCTAGAAAAGGTAGAGCTCTAGGTCCCCAGCCCAAGAATTCTGACTGAATAGGCCTCGGGAGGGGCGGGGACACTGATTCTGCAGCATAGCTAGGCAAGCACCCTGATCCAGGGGACCAGCTTCCCTCTGTTCTCTGCTCCTGACCCCCCCACCCTCCCTGAAGCCTGCTGACCCCCAAAGTAGGATCCATCAGTGAGGCGGGTGTCTCGAGCGCCACGCGCCAGCACACTGAGCAGCCCGTGCTGGATGAAGTACATCTTCCTGCCCACGGAGCCCTCACGCACCACGAGGTCCCCCGGCTGGAAGACCTCAAAGCGCAGCTTGGTGAGCACCGCTGTGACGAAGCTGGGGTCAGCATGGGCGAACAGTGGCATGTGGGCCACCAGGCCCCGGCAGGTGAAGTTAATGATCTCCTAGGCAAGGGAGGAACCTGTCAGACAGGCTGTGCTCCCCGCCCTGAGGTGCACCCACTGAGCTCATCTAGTCTCATAAACCTCACACCTGGAGTCATGATCTGCCAATTGATGG